TAAAACAGAATTAAATCTAAAATGGCTCCCCAATTTAAAATACCTTACCCATACCCCTATAAAAAGACGAATTTAAAATTTAAAAATTTAAAATTTCCACATTTAAAAAGGGGGAAGATTTAGGCCAGGCCAGCTTGATAAAATAGAAAAGTCTTAAGTGCGCGGCGGAAGGTGCGCAGATCCGGGATCCTACGTATCTCCGGGGGGGAGCTCGTTCCAAATCGTAGGTGCCCCCACAGAGAAGGCTCTCCCCCTAGGGGCCGACAGCCGACATTGTTTGGCCGACGGCACCCGGAGGAGCCCCTCTCTATGGGAGCGTACTGGCCGGTGGGAGGCTATTGGTGGTAGCAGGCGGTCCCGTAAACATATGATGTTACAGCATCTGTGGGTTCATCTAGGTCTGCAGAAGTACTTTCGAAAACATTCCAATCAGTGCACTCAAGGCAGGCCTGTAGCTTTAACTTTGCCTCCTCACTGATTTAATTGTTGGTTTTGTGGTTTTAAGTCTTTGCCTGTAAGCAGGTACAAGGTGAATCATGCAATGATCAGCGTGTCAGAGTGAGGCGCTTCAGGGAAGAGCCAGGGAGGGTTCTGACGCCATCTTCCATGCGCTCCCTCCCTGCGCATGTCAGTTTAGCCACTGCTGCTGCCCAGGCAGCGTTCCGGGAAGCCTCGCTAGCATCCCCAGCCACCGCCGTAGTCCTGTCCGAAGTGCTGCAATTGTCCCAAGCAAGGCTGGGAGTGGCAGCGGTGGCATTTGGGCCAGGGTATTCGGCTGGTGCGAGGTGCTTCAGGAAAGAGCTGGGGAGGGTTCTGATGGCACCGTCTCCCACGGACTCCCCTCCCTCCCCACCGCCAACCTGGTCGCAGTCTCAAAGATCGGGAGGGTCGCGCAGGAAGAGAAAAGGCAGCAAAACTTGCAAGAGCAGAGACGGGAGAGCAAAGCAAGCGAGTGAACCTTCGGCTTGCTGGCTGGCCTCTTTATTCCCCCTTGCTCCCAAGGCAGCTCTCTGGAATGGCAGCAGAAGCACATGTGGCTGTGAGAGGAAAAGAGGCCGGGTGAGACCCAGACGCTTTCCGGCTCTCCTCGTCCCAGAAGCATCAACCTCGCAACCTCCCCCTCTCTACTAGTGGTTGCCCCATTCTCCCTCTCCCTCCTCGCTGCCGGGCGATCCCATGTGAAAAAGGGGGTGGCTGCTAGCAAAGAGGGGAGAGTGTGAGATTGATGCAGGAAGTGGCTGGGAGAGAGGGACAAGGGGCGGGGCTTAACCCCTCCACTCCACGGGGCGGATAAATTGGGTCGGCGGATCACATCCGTCCTGTGGGCCGTAGTTTGAGGATGCTTGATTGAAAGGATCGTGTTGTAAACTGGAGATAGATGATGTCGTAGTTTTCACCTTGAGGGAGGTTGTTCCCCAATCAATCCTACATTTTAAAATTATCTTGCTTGTTCAGGTAGGAAAGTAGGAAGAAATGGAAAATCCTTCACTGGTGCCCAATGTAGGGCCCCTCTAGGCCTTGAAGGACATAGGTACAATCTTTTCTTTTTTTTTCTTTTTTTTGAATTTTTTTGAATTTTTTTAACAAAACATAAAAACAACCATTATCCATTACAATTACGGAAAGTGTGTCGATCGGTTACATAGGTACGATCTTGTTGGGGACAGCAGCCTAACCTTTATGGTTGGTTCTTTCTCAGACATGCAAGAGGCTGAGCGAAGAGGTGCGCAGTGCTGCCATCAGAGCTGTCTCTGTGTATTACCAGCTCCCAGAGAGCCAAGGTGAGCAGGAACAGGGGTCCCCTGTTTCAGCAGTGCGAAGGGCCTTTGGGACATCAGCTCTGACAGTTGCCCCTCCAGCCTCTTCTCTCAAGCTGGGGAGAGGCCTGTAGCTCCTTGATGATGGCTGAAAGCTCCTGCTTTTATTTAAAGTTGCTTGTTACGGGAAATCTTGCTCCAGTTTGCAAGTTTAAACACTGCAGAACTCCCTTTGCCTCTCCCAGGAAAGGCCCTGAACAATGCTGTCCGCTGTGCCACGATCCAGGTGGTGGAAGGGATGATTCAGCTCGTAGAGGTTATCCTTCGGACCCCCCAGGAGAGGTGAGCCTTCTCCCGCCATGGCTGCCCCTCTGCTTTCCCTCCCCAGAAAAGGCCCCAGCAGCCCAAGTTGATGGGTGGGTGTCCTCAGCTTTCTTTTCGTGATCTCAGCCTCAGTTGGCTGCACTGGTCCGTCACGTTGTCCCTCTTGCAGTCTGTCTCAGGAGCAGCTTATCTCAACTGGAGGCGTATGGGAGGCCTGCGACCGAGTTTCCTGCCTGCCGCATGGTAAGTGGCGGGAGAGAAGTCAGGGCCAGAAGGCAGCTGTGCATGAGCAGCCCTTGCCCTGGCCAGAGAACGGGCCTAGGTTGAATTGGAGCTTTGGGGGGGGGGCAGCTCTCGCTACCACCCAAAGAGTGCCCTCCCCCTCACCCGGTGTTCTCTCTGCTCAGACAACCTGGCAGCGGTCACATTGGCCATTTCTTCCTGCTTGGAACTTATCAAGGATGCATTGGAGGAGATGGAGCAGGTGGGGAGAGGAGACAGCCACTTTGGCTGTTGATTCATTGGCAAGAGGGAGGGGCAGCTAGGCATGTTGGAGGCCTTGGGGCTTGGATCCCTGAGACCCCACAGTTTCCCACTCTCTTGGGGCCCTGGCTGATTTCCCCCAAGCATTGGAATTCTGTCCCAATCTTCACCACTGTGAGACCTCTTGGTTTCTTCAGGATGCTTGGGGTAACTCTTCCTCATCCTTGTTATGCCATCACCAGCATCAGAGGTGGTTGTGCCCCTTGGCTTTTCCCACCCTGCATGCTCACGGTTCCACCCCCTGGTTAGCGGCTCTCCTGCAAGGGCTCCCCCGGCCGGTCCCCTCCCTTTCCCAAATGCCGCCCAGATTTCCTCGGACTGGAGCACTCCTTGCCATACGCTTGTGTTTGTGTTAGATGCAGTCCGAGGGAGGGGCTTCTCCCGGCGAACTGCTGGAGGATGAAATCCTGGGCTTCCCAGGGAACTGCGACCTTGCTTGGACAGACGCTGAGCGGCAGCTGCTGGGCCCCTGCAAGGGGCTGGTGAAGGCCACCAAGGCTGGGCTGAGGAAATTGCTGGCAGCCATGAGAACTCATGGCGCAGCAGACACAGAGGAACAGGTGGCTCAGCTGGATGCCCTGGCTGAGGCTGCGGCTGAGCTCAGCCCCAGGTGAGAATCACCGAGGCCCCGCCAAGCGGAGAAGCATTGGCATCCCCGGTGGGAGTGGGACCCACATTGCAAGGAGGGGGCTTCTCCTGTCTCCAAAGGGTTGGCTGAAGGGCAGGAGGTCGTTGCTGTGTCTTTCCCAACCTGAGACCCAACCTGCCCGAGACTTGCTGGCACTGTGCTGGCTGCATTTGTGCTGATCCCTTGCTGGTTTTGTCTTTGTCTTTTGTCTTTTAGTGTGGACGAACTGGTGCTCAGCCTCTGCCCGCCCGTGAACCAGCTCGCTCTGCGGCTGAACGTAAGTTGATCAAGGAGGGACCCAGGAGTTCCTTCCTGGCTGCCCATACCTGCAGGCTATTAATCATGGCTGAAGCCCCTAGATACCCTTGGTGAGGTGTGCCTCCCCTGTGCGGGGGAGAATGTCCGAGTGGAGGCCTTTGCAGTCACCAGGCCTCCTTGCTCCATCCCTTTTTAGGCTGGGAAACTGGCTTCGGTGCTAATGAAGATGCTGGAAATCACTAGGTGAGAGAATCAGTTCTGGACTTGGTCTCTGGGGAGCGTCTCTCTCTATCTCGCTCCCTCCCTCCTCTCTCTCTCTCTCCCTCCCTCCCTCCCTCCTCTCTCTCCCCCCTTCCTCCCTCTCGCTGTCATTTGCCTCAAGACCAGGCTGGCAGGCGGCTGCCCCAACTTTTCATCCTGGTGCCGTCTTGTCTCCTGCAGGACAAGCCATGTCTGCCCTCCCTCCGAAGAGAGCTGGGTGAGGTTCCTGGCTGGAGCAGTGGACCACAACCTAGGCAAGATCAAGGACTCTACTCAAGGCCTGCTGCGAGACTCTGGCCCAGCAGGGGAGGGTCAGTGCGCAGGACACGCCCAGCCGAAGGAGCAGCCGTAGCACCTTTGTCCCAACTGCGGGCAGTAAAGGACCCTTGGCCTCTGTGCAAGAAGCTCGTAGTGTGCTTATTTCTCTAAGACAAGCACATACACACACGACTCTAGTTCCAGAGAGACTTTTGATGGGGCATGGAAGCGGTGACTTCAGTGGCGAAGGCAGTGGTGGTGTGAGTGGGCAGGGTGCGTGCAGAGATCTCAGCTCTTGCGTTTTCTGCCCCATCCCACTCTCCCACTGCCTTCTTCCTAGGTGGCCAGGGGTAGCTGCCAAGTGGGGTGGTCAGTTGTGGCTCTGGCCCACCAGAGTACACAGAATGGCTCCCTGCTGGCCTGTTCCTTGTGGGGGGCTGCCCTCACTAGGCGGCTCCTCGGGGAAGGCAGCACCCAGTGGCCAGGGGAGGTGGAGAGGGCGATCCAGGTGTGGGTTTGACGTTCTACAGCCCCGGCCGCAGGGCAGGGTCTGTGGGGAATGGCTGCCCTTGCTGAGGGCGTGGGATGGTCCCAGGAGCCCTCCACTCGGCCTCCTTGAGCTCCACCGCAGGATCTGCTGCGTCGAAAGAGAAGCCACTCGGGGCAGCTGTTATCCGGGCCCTCCTGACTTGGAATTTTATTTCTGTGCTGCTTTTGACATCTGATGCATTGTAATAGGACCCCTTTGTGTTGGGTATGAAGCCTAAGATAAAACGCAGCCCACCTTCGGAACCTCAGCGCTGTTCCACCCACCCACTTCCACTCCCTATCTCCCTCACTTGGGGGATGCCCCCCCTCTTGCTCCCTTCCCATCGCCCCAAAGGCAGAAGCTTGGGGGGTGGGGGGGGCTTCATTTGCAGCCGACGCAGTGGTGAGGTTTCCCGCCACTTCACAAGAAAAGAGCCCACCGGTGCAACAGTCAGTTTATTAAGTGCATTGAAGGGGGGGGGCAGTCGAGGCAGCACTTGCGCGGCCCCGGCTAAGGCAGCCAGCCTGTCCTCCAGCCATCTTCGGCCACCTGCAGCTGCTTGTGTCCTTTCAGGGGGGGAAAGAGGCTGCTCCTGAGCGTGAGGTGCAGCTGCCGCGTCCCACTCTTGTAGGGGATCAGCTGGAGGGTGAGGCTGGCCTGCTGTCTGGCAGGCAGGAAGCCCAACCTGGGGAGACAAAGGCAGGGGCTTTGTGCCAGTCTCCTCCATCCCTCCGGCAGAGAAGGCCACCTCCCCTCCCCCTGCAGGCCTCCCACACCAGAGCGTTCCCTCTGGGGCAGCTGTTGTACTCCACTCACCCTGTCTGGCTCCCCCTAGGAGGGCCTTCGTAGGCACAAAACAGGCCCGGCCAGAATCCAGCAGCAGCCAAGGAGCCTCTGGCACCTTCCAGAGGGAGTGCCCCACCCACTCCCTGGGCTACCCTCAGTAACCAGGTGGCCTTGGCTGGGGCCAGGCTTTCTCCCTACTGGCCCCCAGAGAGGTTCAGCGGGGCAACCCAGGGGTTCCGCCACTCCTTTTCTCTAAAAGAGCCGCGGTGACACAGGGGTTACAGTGCAGTAATGCAGGTTACTTGTGCTGATCAGAAGCTGCCAGCAGTTTGGCAGATGGAATCTCACCAGGCTCAAGGTTGACTCGGCCTTCCATCCTTCCGAGGTGAGTAAAATGAGGAACCAGATTGTTGGGGACAATATGCTGACTCTGTAAACCGCTTAGAAAGGACTGTAAAGCACTATGAAGCGGTATATAAGTCTAAGTGCTATTGCTATCCAAAGGGGTGTGGAGTTCCCCTCATCTGCCAGGGGACAGCTAGGCAAGTCCAGACATGGCTGCTCGCACACAGACACAACACGCACATGGGATTGTACGGTGCAGAAAGGGAAAAGCAGCCCCCCTCCTCCAGTACAGCATTCCTTGGGAGCCATGTTGCCTCACTCACTCTATCTGGGCTTGGCCTCGCACCAGGCCGGCCCCCTCCACGGTCAGGAGGCCATCGCTGACGGCATCGGCCAGGGGGTTGGTAAACTCCACTCGGAACTGGAAGGGCTGGTCCAGCACCACGGGGGACAACACCTGCACCGTGGGGGAGGGTGAGAAGGCTTAGAAAGTCAGGAGCAGCATCCCCCCCCCAAAGAACTGCTTGGCAGCCGCGTGCCCTACTGGCAGCAGGGGTGGGGGTCAGCCTGTGAGGAGGTCACCTACGTGAATCAGGATGGGGGGCGTGGCCACGGTGATGGTCTTTTCCGCCAGAGCCTTCTGCCAGGTGGTGTTCTCCTCACCCATGGCCACCACCCGGATCTGCTTGTCCTCCTGCAGGTGCCGACTGTACTGTCGGTAGGAGATGTGCCAAGGGATGTGCTTTTCTGTGGGAAGAGGGTAGGTAGCAGGGGGGAGAGCAGGGCCACGCCCACAGCTACCCACAGCCGCCCCCCTCCCACTTACCTTCCTTGGGGCTGAAGGACAGGTACAGGGTGTCTTGCCAGAAGGGCGCCAAGGGGTGCCCGTTGTGCAGCACTGACTGGGCGCTCAGGCTGAGCTTCAGCTCCTTGGAGGCAAACTCCAGGTTGCGGGCCAGGAGGGTGAGGTGGATGTCCTGGCCGATCTCTGGACTCTCTACCAGCTGAAGGTGGAGAAAGGTCTGAGCCCCTGGGGGGGGGGTCCCGGCGCCGGCCGTCTTGGAGAGCTGGGAGGGTGCCGGTGCTGGTTCTGATGGGGCTGAAGGGCTGGCTGCGTGTGAGGGCCTTCAGGAACACCTGGCGCTCGCCCAGGGACCCTGCAGAGGGAGAGGAGCTGCCTGAGGTGGCTGGGAGTGGCCCAGGGCAAAGGAGAGGGGGGGGGGTCCCCAGCAGGTAGGCCTCCAAAAGGCGAGCAGGCTGGCTGAGGGGGTCCTAGGCAGCTGCCCCTGGACCAACTTCATCCTGAACCCTTGATTGAGTGGTCTCCCTCCTGCTCTAGTCCACCTGCTTCTGTGCCAGAAATTAATCTGGGCTTTATGTCATGATGCTGGCAAGTTATAAAGGCCCATCTTGGTCCAGGTTGTGCCCCACTGCTTCAATTTATGGGAGAGTGTTGGGGGAGGGAGGGCACATGGCTTTGCTCTCATGGTAAAATAGGGCTTGGAGGAACTGTAATGGGCTGGGGCAGAATAGGCTACCAGACCAGGAGGAACTTTTGAGGGGGCTGGCCCTTTGGCCACAGCCACACTGGATGGCTCCAGAAAGCCCCGCTGAGTGACCCGGTTATGGTTAAGGGTGGCTGGCAGCTATAGATCTGGTTTATTTATAGATTGCCCAACTCCATGATCGCCCTGGGCCTGAAAGGTCTGAAAAAAGCAAGCCGGGAGAACGCTTGGGGATCAACCCGTTCTCCAAGGCCCCTGAAGGCAGGGCAAGAAGCCACGGATGGAAGAATCTGAAAGGGACCCAACCTAGAATTAAGGACGAATTTCCTGACAGTGAGAATAGTTGATCAGTGGGATAGCTTGCCTCCGGGAGTTGTGGGTGCTCCATTACTGGAGGGTTTCAAGTGTTTGAACAACCATTTGTCCAGAATGGTATAGGCCAGGGTCTCCTGCTCGAGCAAAGGGTTGGACTAGAAGACCTCAAGGGTCCCTTCCTGTCACCTACTCCAGCCCAAGGCCTGGGGAAAGAGCCAGGCGTTAGGGCTTGCTTAAATTTAGGCAGGGAGGGGTTGCGTAAATCTCGAGATGCCAGAGGTACCTTCCTGGTGCTTGTAGGTGTGGGTGATGTCTTCTCGCTCCTCGCTTCCGATGGCCTTGGTGCTGATGTAGTTCCCCACAGCGCTTGGATTCCACTGGAGTTTTTCTCTTCTCGTCCCAGAGAGCAGCCAAACCACCCGGTCTGCGTTCACCATGGAGAACACAAAGGGGGTGTCGTAGCGCAGGTGGATATCACCGTTCCGCACGGCTTTGACGGGTGCTGGGCCACAGCGGTACAACCCTGCCAAGGGGGGGGGGAGAGAAAGGGTCGTGATGCCCGCCAGCCTGCCCAAGCCTGGCCGGAGAACAGAGCGGAGCCACCTCGGTTACCGTTGCTGGATTCCTGCGGCGTAGCATCCAAAACCTGCCAGCCGTCATACCCAGGGGGCAGATCCCTGCGCACCATCCAGCACTCATTCCAGACGTGGAAGTTCCTGCCATACAAGTAGAGGGAGGGAGTCGTCACGGGCAGCCAACGGCCCTCTTGCAAACCCCAACCCTGCTGGAGGACAGATGAGGGGATGTGCTCGGCCAGCCATCCCAGCCAGGCTACACATTTGGGAGGGGGCATGCTGGGCACCAGGGAAGGCCACAGCAACCAGAATGGCCTCCATAACTTGCCCTCGGCACAAGCAGCAGCTTCTGAGGTCTCGTGCAGAATGGCTCTGGGGCAGCTTTTTTGGGGCTACCAGGAGGGGGGCCTTAGGAGCTGTGTCAGGCCAGAGGCCCTCTAGCCACCCTCATTTTGCCATCATGGCCCCTCCATGGTTCTCAAGTAGCCAACGGGTTCCCGCAATCTTGTGGATATGGGCAGGGCCCTTCCAATACTGCAGGGAAGGCAAAGCCACCCACAGGAATTCCCTCCCGGCTGCCCCCCCCCCCCCCCCGCTTTCTGTGAATTTATCTACTTTTCTCCACCCTGCAAGGATGAGGTCTGCTCTGAGCCTCCCACCCTTCTGTTCCTCTGAAGGCCTCACTGGATCCTCCTTGCAGGGGTAAAAGGGAGGCGGAGAACCTCTCCTCACCAAGGCCGCTGCTTGCTGGGTTCTCAAAGTCCCTGTAGGGCAGCCCAGCGGCACAGAGACTGGCCTGACCCTGGAGCTCTGGCCAAAGCCACAGGGTGAAGGAGCCACCCACCAGATGCTGTCCTTGCTCTCCCGGGGCAGCAGCTGCCCGGTGTTGTCATAGAAGACGTCGATAACCAGGTTGCCGTCCTTTTCGTGACCCGAGTCGAAGTTCGTCACCACACGTGTTGGGATCCCGAGGCTGCGCATTACTGGGGAGAGAGGGACTCAGTGAAACATCCAGCCCAAAGGGCAAAGCTCTCTCCGTTCTCCCGGCCTGTTTTGTGTGTCTGCAAGGGGTTCTGCACTCCCACCCCCACCACCATCGCTCCCTACAACATGTAACCGTGGAGCATTTGCAACCATTGTCTGTGGCTGCAGGGATTCCAGAAGATTGGCGCAAGGGCCTGGGTTGCCCAAGAAAAGGGGTTCCCTCAGTAGTGCCAGCCTCAGCCCATCTTGCATGAGGGAGCCGCCTTAGCCCAAGGTGGGAAGACTCTGGAAAGTTGATCTAGATTAAGAGCTTCTGGGTGGGCATAGCCAGCCTGTGTCCCAGTATCCAAGGCTTTCAGCAGGGAGGCAAAGTGAAGAGGTCAAGATTTGCTTCCTCCTCCCGGGATTTTCCCAAAGAAATTGGTTAAGGGGCACCAAGAGAGAGTGCCATCCTCCCACCACCGGGCGGGGCAGGTGTGACGTGCAAGTGGTGAGCTCCCCGGCAGGGGCCACTGTCCCCAGCCCTACCTGTGCACATCACAGCTGCAAAGACCCAGCACTGCCCGTACTTGACGGGCTGCCCTCCGGAGTGCTCCCACTGCTTGAGGATGGGGATGCTGCTGTTCCACTCGCTGGGGCGGGTGCCCCCGGAATAGTCCTCACCCCAGTTGCCCAGGAGGACCCCGGAGTCATCATTGCTGTTGACCTGGGGAGGAAGGAAGAGGTGGGAGCCTGCAGCCCCAAGGGAGAAGGGGGGCCCACTTCCAAGTTGGCACCTGGATGCCCCGGTCAGTGGCCAGGATGCCCAGGGCACAGCTCTTACCATGGCGCTCAGCACCCGACTGACATAGACCGGGCTGCTGCGCAGGGCAGAGTCCTGCACCGGGTGGTGCCTAAACTGCAGGTTGCTGTCCAGCAGCTTCAAGCAGATGCCGACTGTCTCGTCATCAAACTACAGGAGACAAACGCAGCTGAGCCGGACTGGGATGGAGCAAGCATATCCGGCAGTTCGGTTGGCACCACTGGCCAACTCTTCCCAAGACTGGTGGGGAGAAACTGCGATGCCACGCCGGGGAGGAGGGGCTCCCAATACCTGGCCGTAGTTCCAGGGAACCGGGTGGATCCAGTTCTTGTTTCCGTGGAAGATGAGGCCGTGCTCATTCATCACGTATTCCTGCCTCTCGGCCTCGCTTTCCAGGTAGACGTCATCTTCTGCACAGTGGAGGGAGAAGAGCGGTTGGTCCTCCTGCTCTCCTGGTTAGTTTAGGTTTCCCAAAAGAACCAAATAAGCTCCCTCCTTTTGGGGGGACCCCCCTCCCAAGCCACAGCCTCTTAAGAGTCTCTGGAGTCAAAGCTGCCCATGCAGCACGCAGGGCCTGTCTGGGAGAGAGCTCTGGGTGCTCTTAAGATCTCCTGGTGGTCTTCCTTCCAAGGACCAATCAGGCCACAGTCTGCTCAGTTCAGTCCAGGTGTTGGAGGCCAGCTGTGGCATTGAAAGGGGGGGAGAGGCGCTCCCCCCAGCAGTGGGAGAAGCAGTCCCGGTACCTGGACACCAAGCATTGAAGAGAAGGAGGACCTCGCCCAGCTGGTAGGACGACGACATGCCCTGGCCAGAGTCAAAGTGGATGTTCAGCTGGTACTGCCCAACGGGGGCCTCTGCGGGGGCAGAGATGGCGACATCTGTGGACTGGGGGCCGCTGGGTACTGCGCTGGCTCTCCAGGCCTCCCTGCTATGTGGCTGGCTCAGACTCACCAGGAAGATGGCCCTCTCTGGCCCTGGCCCTGGGGAGGGGAGAGAAGGGGGCACCCGTGGAGTCCTCTCCTGCCTGCACCAGCACTCTGGAGAAGGACGGGCAAGGGATCCCTCTTGGGCTGGGCTCACACAGTGCCTGGACTCGTCTCTCGCTGCTTGCAGGGCCAAGCTTGTCATCTCATTTGAGGGAAGCCTTCGCGTCAGTGGAAGCGGGAGGGGGGCGGGGGAGAGCCCAGGAATTCTTAAGCAAAGAGGGGCTTGGAGAGCCTGTTTCATGCTGGGGGAAGGGCCTTTGTGCTCCACAGTGGGAGGCCAGTCAGCCAGACTGGCCCAGCTGGATGGGCAGCATTCCGTTGACTGGCTCTGCCTCTTGCAGATCAAGGGGGGGGTTCTAACTACACCCAAGGAGTAGTCAGTGGGCCCCCAGGTGGCCTCTGCTCTCCTTTCCTCCTTGGCTCTTGAACTGAGCACCCCTCCATTCTGAGGTGGCAGTACTGCCACTGCTGCTCTGCCGGGGCCGAAATTGGGAAATTCCTTCCTTGGCCCTAATCTGAGACATTGGCACCAGGATGGCTGACCCAAGGGGACATGTCCCCCTCAGACTCAGGAAAGCAGGGGCAGCGTTACAGGCCCCAGGGAAAAGTAAGACCCATGGCAACAGCCACAGAAACACGGAAAGTGGGGGGCACTGTGGCCATTGCCCAGGGAGGATCACTGCAGGGATTGGGCCGAGCTCCCCTCCTGCCCAAACTCGCAGCCTCCTGATGGGTTTGCCAAGCGACTGCCCGCAATCAGGATACCTACAGGATAAATCAACACCAATGCTTGCCAAATTGTGGCTCCCGAAAAGGTGGGGTGGAGGGAGCAAGACAAAGAAACCAAATTTATACAAGAGGGTTTATTTGTATCACGAGAGAAGCACTGAAGATGCTGCCTGATGAGGTAATGAAACATTGCAAACAAAGCTCAGAGAGCACCAAGACTCTGCCGGTCACCCTGAGCCACAGAAGCTCCTTCGGCCGGATGGGGTTCATTCAGGGATTCTGAGAGATGCATTTGGGGGACAAGTGGCTCCAATGTCATCAAACGGAGGGCTGTTTGGGGCTGCTGTTGGCTATCAAGCTTGAACCCTTTTAGGCCTCGGTGATCTCCTGTCCTCTCTCTCCCAAGGGAACCAGACCCGATCCCTCCAGCGAGGTCTTCTTCCCGGCTGATCTGGCCAGCCCTTCCTCAGAATTTCAGCTCACGCGATCCTCTGGTACTCTCACCTTCGGTGCGCAGAGCCAAGCCTCGACTACGCTCACCAGGTAGCCCCTTCTGCCTGTTGAGCAGGCTTCCTCGCTCCCCCTCCACGGTCACACACCTTGTCCCAGGTAGTTAAAAGCTTGATGGCAGCTTTGGCGCAGCATGGCTACCATTTCCCCTGGCCCTCCTGGGCAGAGCCCAGTCACCATTCCCTGCTCCTGGAAGAGACTCTGCCCAGGGGTTTAACGTGGGGGGAGGCACCACCTTCCTGCTGTCTTTCTCAACAGCCCCCCTCCTATTTCTGGACCCAGGCAGCCATGAGTGGAAGCAGCCTTTGTGCTGCTTGGTCTGCAGGGGGGGGGGGTGTCTTGCAGCAAGGAGGTGAGGGGAGACCCGGTTTCCCAGGAGAAATGCCCTGCGGTGAGGAGAAGCCACTCTTGCCGGGGCTGGATGTGGAAGCGGCAACTCTCTTGGGCTGGAACACAAGCACAGGCGCCTGGCCTGGGGTTCCCCCCTTACCTGTCTCTGCAACCAGGTGCATGGAATCGAACCCCGGCTCGTAGTTCCTGGAGTGGGAGTGGAAGTGGAGGGTGAGGGTGAAGGGCTGCCCCCTCCGCACGACCAGCTGCCCGCTGCTCGTCTCAGCCGTGTGGTGCCCATGGGTGTTCTCCGGGCCATGCCAGTCCACAGAGGCCAGCTGCAGCTCTGTGAGGGCACAGTGGGGAGTGAGGGGCCGTGGGGCAGAGCTGGGCTCCCTTCCCCACTGCTGCCCCTCCGTCTGTGCCGAGCCTCCCTACCTCCAGCCATGCTGCTCCTGCTGCTGCCGGGCTCTTCTGGTGAATGCCTGCAGGCAGCATCTGGCAGGAGCCAAGGAGGCTCCAGGCGTGGCACTCAGGCATGGCCGATTCACCTTCCTGCTCCGTCACCAAGTTGCTGGCACAGCAGCTCCCACCCAAGAGCCGCCTGGGCGTGAGCACAGTTCACACTTGCTGAAAAGGCACGTCAACACACTCTGTGAGAGAGTGGAAGCTCAGGGACCCAGGAAAGGTGAGGGGCACAATTGAATGGTGTGTGCTCATCCTCCCTCCCTGCGGGCAGAGCAGCCTGGCAAGGGGCCCTTCTGCGAGTCCAGGCCATGGCTCCCTGTGGCCTGTGGGACATGGCCCCTGGAGCGGGCATGAGCAGTCCCAGGGCCTCAGGAGCCTCGAGATGCTAGGGGCCCCTCTTTGTGCTGGGGACACTTTGGATTGCCTGGCCTTCCCCACCAGACAGCCTGAGGTACTGGATCCACAAGAATCTGCCAGGCCCCGTCTCTCCCCACCCCCCACTGCTCCCCTGGAGGCAGCTTTAACCCACTTCCTCTGCTGCCCAAGGAAGGCGAGGCCCCGAGTGGCCCCCGTGCAAGCCGGGTCCTTCTGGCCCCGAGTGATCCTGCCATCTTGAGGAAGGAACAGATCAAAACGAATGCAAGGGATAAAAGTGGGGGAGGGGGCATATCAGCGTTTGGAGAAAAAAAATGGAGCCTCATTTCCTGGCCACTCTCCCACCCCAATTGGAGTTGTTTCCGATGCCACCAGACCCTTCCCACCACAAGCCCCTCAGACTAGCCTGGGGGTCCTTCCAAAGGGCCCCTCCATCCTGCATTCTCTGGCTCTCAACTCTGCTCCATCTGCCTGCCCTCTCATCACTGCCCCCCACCAGAACAGGGTCTTCTGGCCAGACCCCTCCAGAAAGCCTTCAGCCTCTCTGGGCAGCTTGAGGTCTCCCACAGCAGCCGGGCAGGATGTTCTGAGCAGGAGCCTTTCCCAGCCAGGGGAAGGGAGGGGGAGAGAAGACTCTCCCCCCTCAGCACAGCCAGGGACCATCATTGATGCCAGGCAGGGTGGGCATTGCCCCCTGTTCCCATACAGAGGCTTGCCCTGCAAGGGTGGGTGGGTCTGTTCTGCCGAGAGCCCCTCCATCCCTTCTCTTTCGGTTGTGCTTTAGAAGCAGCTTCTGCTTCCCCACTGAGAAGTATTTCTGCTGGGAGGGGAGCTTTGGAGAGGGGAGAAACACCCACACACCTGCCTTCTGCAGGAATGTTTGCACCTGGCCCACATTTCCCCCCTCCCAACTCCAAGCCCAAGATGGCCTCGCCTGGTTCGGGGGAGGGCTGAACCCCCCAGCCTCTTCTGTGCTGGGTGGGGGCAACGCTGGTGGAGCCAGGCTAGCCCCTTTTTGGCACAGAGCGAGCCTTTTTCAGGGCTGCCACACACGGTGACCTCTTTATGGAGCTCCCTCCTAGAAGCGATGTTGGTTCCAGAAGAACCAAGAAAAACAACCCAGAAATAACTGACACAGCACTATCGCTACAAGGCATGGCTACAGCACACACCCCAGTTAAAGCCCTTCAAACACCTCAAGTAAACCAGGAGACCCAGAGGCCCAAGAAGAGGAAAAACTGATCCATCTTCAAATGCAGTCCAAGGACTGTAGCAGTCACGATGTAGGACAGACAGGCAAAGCTCATCCCTGAATGAAAACCAGCAGTCGGAAAACACGATGAACCCTCCTTAATCCCTCCATATGCATATGGACAGCCTCAGCCACATTATCACCCGGGGGGGCAGGGGGGGGGAAAGCATCCTAGACCAAACCAAATCCAAAATGCCAGGGAATTCCTGGAAACTTTTCATTTAGATAAATCAGTTATCAACAAATAACATAGAGATAAACCAGATTTATACATCAGAGACAATAGAAAAGCTAAGAAGGAAACAAAGAAACAAAAAGAACCTATCCTATCTAGTGGCCAAATCCCGATAAGCAGGGATTAACAGCAGACAAACAATATCTGAATAGAATAGAATAGAATAGAATAGAATAGAATAGAATAGAATAGAATAGAATAGAATAGAATAGAAAAGAGTAGAGTAGAGTAGAGTAGAGTAGAGTAGAATAGAATAGAATTCTTTATTGACCAAGTGTGATTGGACACACAAGGAATTTGTGTGCATGTACACTGAGAGCATAGGCTCTCAAGTGTACATAAAAGAAAAGATACATTCGTCAAGAATCATAAGGTACAACACTTAATGATAGTCATAGGGAACAAACAAGCAATCAAATCATATTAGGAAACAGTCTAAAAAAGTACCAACGAGAAGAAAACTACACGGAGCAAATCCTACACTTGCACTGATGATGTTACCTAGTTGGGTCATGAAATGTCTGCAAGAAAGCAACCAATCTCAGAGAGCACCAACGACCCCACAGTTTCAGACGCCTCAGATTTAACAATGCAGACTCGAGGTTTTGGGGAAGGGGCTACCCCAACAGGCATCACTGTGCACCTATTTCTGCTGGATGGTGTTTGCCATGGGGCTGACCCATCCTTTTCCTTCCTATGTACAGTTTGGGTTTCTCCCCACACCTCCTTGAAACAATACTGCCAGATCCCCCACACTGCTGGTAACAAATGTTAACAGGCCAGGGTGAAATGCTCCTGGTTCGGACCGGATCACCCGATCTGGTAGCGATGGAGGCGGGTGGTTCGGAGAACCGGTAGCAAAAATCCCTGCCCCCTCCCCCATGCCCAGCTGAGCCGCACAATCATCAGAGGCTTTTTTTTTTTACTTTTAAAAGCATTTTTTCTACAACCTCTTCGGTGGAAAAAATGCTTTTAAAAGTAAAAAAAAAAAAATTGGCCACGTCCACCCAGTCACATTACCACCACCACCACCACCACCAAGCCACGCCCACAGAACCGGTAGTAACAAATTTTAGATTTCACCACTGGTAACAGGTTAAAAGGTAACCCTGCCTTCCCTGGGTTGAGACAAGGCCTTGAAAGCTCAGCAACTGGCCTGGCCTGGTCGTGAGTCTGCCTGGCTGCCCTGGCTCTGGGGAAGAGCCACCGACCCACATGCCCCGGCTCCTGGCTTGTGTTCCTTGGGCACAGCAGGGTCTCTGCTTGACTTTGCCCCCTAGGCAGCAGTCTGGAGACAGCCGTGTGCCCCCCCTCACAGTAGGCAGGCACAAGGGAGGGAGGGTCTAGGTCTGACCCGACTCCTCCCATGTGGGTGCTATCCCTTCCTTTGCTTCCATCCCACTGCCTGGTGGTGGCCCCTGGTGTGAGAACCAGAATCTGCAAGGCAAAATTGAGGGCCAAAGCTCATTATGGGGTGCGATGGCAGCGGCTGTCCCCTTTGCCTACCTTCCACTGGGGAGGTAGTAAGAAGTATTTTCCATCAGTTATAGGCCCTCCAAACTGGTATGGATCGCCCCTTCTTTCCCAGACCAGGAGCCTCTGCCCCACTCTGGAGCTACAGCTTGCCCCGGGGGCTTGTGCCTAAGGAAGAAATTTGCAGGTTTGTGGGCAGGGGAGCCCCCCTCATTAGCTCACATGATTGGAAAATGAAGTCTCAGCTAGCCTGCAGGAGGTGAGGTCCAACATCTCTGGTGGCAGCTGAATGCCCCCTCCGGATCTTGTCTCCTGGCAAGCTCTGGGCGGGTGGCACACACGTCCCCAAAAGGGGAAATAATGGGAAAGGTGTGCCCGGGTTGGTGGGGGTCAGGATGAAGTTGCTGTCTGTCACTGGGGGACCACTGGCACTGCCAGGGCTGACCGGGACCAGTGCCCTGCAGGCGAGGACAAAGCAGGGATTGCTGGACCCCTTCCTGGCTGAAGAAATGGGAGGAAAGGGCTGGGCGCACCCTTGCATGGGGTTCTGTGCTGCTGGGTGCAGTCCTGCATATAGCTCCCCCACCAGATGCCGCCCCCACTGTTCCCTGGCAAGCACAGGGCGGAAGGGGAGAGGGAGAGCAGGCATGGTAGCAGCAAAGCAGGGGCTGCTGGCATCTCCTGGGACTTCCGCAGGGAAGCAGCCCAAGTCCTCCCTCCGGCTCTTCTCCTGCCAGCCCAGATGTGGGCCAAGGCAGATGGCAGCAGCAGCAGCCTTGGAAGTTTGGCTGGCTGGTGAGTCACCCTCTATTCTGTCCCCCTGGCTTGCCGAACCTTCCCTTCTCCTCTTCAGCGTTTTTGGGGCGGGGACTGGGAGGGGCCTCCCAGAAGGCCAGCTCTGCAAGTAGTGTCTGGTATGAAGAGGGGCTGAACCAGTGATGGTGAACCTTTTAGACACCGAGTGCCCAATATGCGCACGTACACATGCCCAAACTGAAAGGTGCGCACAAGGACATGCATGTGTGGACATGTGCTAGCGTGCACAGCCATGCACATGCACAGCCATGCACATGTGCAGGCATGCAGGCGGGCATGCACAGACATGCATGCATGTGCAGCAGGGACCCGAAGACCAACTGGCCAGCAGGAGATGGGGCATCCCAACACCGGCAGCGCAGCAAGAGGCAAGATCTTTTTCTTTATTGAGCTTCAGTTTTGTCATTTGCAGGAACACAGAAGCTCACAAAAGAAACGCCACGGAGACCTGACCTGGGGTGATGATGTGCGTGCCAGCAGAGAGGGCTCTGCGTGCCACCTCTGGCATGCGTGCCATAGGTTCACCATCACAGGGCTGGACCGTGTCTGTGGAAGGAGCCCCGGTGGCCTCCCTGGTCTGGATGAAAGGCGCCTGCCTGCAGCAACTCTGAGTGGGCTTCGCTGTGGTGTTGGACCAGCCAGTGCTGTGGCTGGTCCAACAGCCAGTGCCACAAATCCCTCCTGGGCAGGCTGGTCTTGCTTTAAGGCCAGGGAGGAGAGAGAAGGGTCCTGAGAAGGGGTTGAAGCCCATGGGGTGCAAAAAGCAGCGCTGAGGGGAATCTGCCTCCTTCTTCCTGTTTTTCAGGAATCCGTGGAGAAAGAAGCCAAGAAGCCAGTCACAAGAAGTGAAGTCACAGAATCCTAGAGGTCTTCTAGTCCACCCCCTGGGCATCAGTCCCCCTTGCGACTGAAGACAGGCATCTCCAGTCCACCCCAAACCAATGACTGGCCAGTGTTTCTTTGGGGCCCTCCAGAGATGGACACCCCCGCCCCTACCTGGACTTCTGAGCTACTGAGTCACAGCTCTCCAGGACAGGCGCCTTTCCTTAGTTGGGAAGTAGGAGCTCCCACTGGGGCCTCCCCTGCTTCTGGGGCTGCTCTCAGCCACCACAGAGAATAATCTTCCCATAATCTATGCCTGTGTTGTGGGGCTTAAGCCCTGCCCGTCTCTGTGGCTTCTCCACTGCGCCCAGCGACGTCCAGCTCCTCAGCATCCCTTCTGCTTCGTAGTGACCAGG